TTGAAACGCCTCACGTAATTCAGCAAACTTTTCTCTCGGAATCTTTTTTGAGCAACCACAATTGCAACCTATCTCCAGGAAACGTATTGCTTTTTCATATTCGGTTGAACCGTTATAATTATAATTTTCCATATACGGGTATTCCTATATATAAATTTTATCACTTTCATAACAGTAATCTTAAATTTCAACAATCGAGTTGATCGATTTTGCCGTAGTTTACGTAAATTAGCAGAAACTCGAATTTTATTTAAATTCTAACGTTGAAATTACATTTATCACAATTGGTATACGAAGATATTCAAATTAATATGTCTAATTGCTGAGCATCACACAAATTAAACATTCAATTTTTTTATATACAATGAAAGTTCCATCGTTTCAACATCAGACATTTTCTATTCAAGACATGAAACAAATTATAGTGATAAGTTCAGATATATGCCTTCCTAGTTTTGAAATAAACTATCCTCGTACCATGGAATATATTGCTTCTCCAAAAGCTTGAGCAGCTCATCTTCCGCATGGGCTCGCCCCCTTTTACGCCATCAGGCCACACAATGCTTTGGGCGTTCATGGATATGGGATATGTGTCCTCACCATCCTTTCCAACCCAGTCGAAATCGACGAGCACAGCCCGCACCTTTGTTGACTCTGCAGAGTCTGGAAGAACGAGAATATTGGACGAGCGCAGGTCACCAAAGACATAACCATTTCTGTGCAATAAACTGATGGCCCTCTTCACATCCTCCATCACGTGCAAGTACTGATCTTGCTGTGAGGGCTTATATTCATGTAATGTCCTGCTGTTCTGAACATATTCCATAATGATCACCTTCAATCCCTTGGAGACTTCTTTGACACCAAGCAGCTTTGGAGCCAGGTTATCTTTAGCACACAGTTCATGAGCAGCCTCATTGTACTGCGTTGTGAACTTCACAACAATTTCTTGACCATCCTCTGTTTCGCCCCGGTAAGGCTTGGTGCACCGGCATAGGTGCAAATGTTCTGTAGTAACACACTGATCACAGAGGTCACCAGTGTAGTCAAAACTAACATCCTTGCCATTAATGTCCTTGAACCTCCTAACATCAGGATAGAATCGCTGCATATCCATATCATTCGTGAGCATTTGTTCTGATTGCACTAATGCATTGTAGTACCCGGCAAGGTCATTATAAGCGGTTTTGAGTGCCTCTATTACCTGTGCAATTTTCATGTAATGCATCATATCATTCGTGGGCATCAGCGGAATCATGTCTGTCAAAGGGTCCACGATAATTGTATCAAGGAACACTGCTCCGCATATGCAAAACCATGGTCCAGCCGAGCAGAACAGCATTGAAGGACAGTTGCTTTTTTCCCGCAAATCCTTGAACTTTGTCTGGCTCCAGAATTTAGAGTACGAGCACGTTGCCTGGAGATATGGATCATTTGTTGCACCCTCAATCTCATTCTTGCTCTCACGAATGATTATCGCTACATGTTCCCGATAAGTACGAGAGCGGTCCTTAGGATTGGGGAGACTAATCTCATGCATACTGATTCCATCAGGTCTGGAATTGTTGCTTAAGGTGATTTCTGCAAACTCCAGCCCAAACTCCTGTGACAGCACAGTTTCAAGTGCTTGGCATCGCTCATTCTCTCCTCTGTATATCTTTGCCATGGCATCGCAAAGCTCGACACTTGCATCATAAGAAATTTTGGATGGCTGGATGCTCTGATCTGTGCTGTGTCTTACAAAGTTCCGGAAAGCTTGATGATACCAGATAATTTGACGACCACAGTGTGTCGGGGGACGATGGCAGAGAAAATTGAGCGTTTGTTGCTGCATGGGGAACGTTTTGCGAAGTGCCAGCGAGGATGGGCCAGGTGCTTCGTTAATTTGGTGGGATACTGTCTCCAGTGCTTCTGCCAAACGTTGCTTTCGTGGTTCACGCTCACGTTCGACGTCTGAGAGCTGGTCTGTATTATAACATATGGAGAAGGTAGGACAATAACAAAGTGTGAAAAACATAGTAATCCAGCAAGAGCATTCTGGTAAACGACCTTACCTTCATCTGCCTTCCTTTTTTTCACAATCTCAGCTGTTATAATAAGTGAGAAAAGAATGAACATCATGGGCAAAGATAGATGGTAAACAATTTGCTATCGTAAACAGTTTACCAAACATTTGCTTACTATGTCTACTCTACCCTACTCTACGTCCCCAACGCCCGAGTCACAAAGTCGTTACCTGTTTGAGTAGTCACCCTCGCTTGTCGCAAGTCTTCACTCCTCTTGAGCCACTCCCCTGTACACAGATCTACGCGCCTCCTCAACTCCTGCTCTCTGTTCTTCAACTCGGTCAACCATTGTCTCTCTCTGTCAGAAATGGTTTCGTTTACCTCCTTTTCCCTCAACTCATTCAGCTTCTCTTCTCCGTACTTCGACTCCTGAAACTTCTCCAACGCCGCGTTCGCATCATCAAGCTTCTTATCTGCCTTCTCCACTTGTTGCTGATAGTATTCAAGCGTAGTCATGGTAGAGCGGTAAATTTTTTCGTGTGTCGTTTCGGTGGATTGTGCGTGTGGAAATTGTTTATGTGCTGCGCAATCTGATCTAATCTTAATCAATGACGTATTATTGTTCAGAATGTGACCAATGATAATCAATGCGCAGAAATTCGCGTTTGTCTAATGATCATCCACAGTTTATGATGAACAAACGAATATTTTATTATAAAAACAGCACCGGTTAACTTACTTCAAAAATCAATCACAACGCAATAAATATCGTTGAAACAATAAATCGTTAAAACAAATCTGAACAACATTACAAAAAATGCTTACATTTACGAGCGAATTCTTTTTCGGAGTATTTATTGGCTTTGTTCTCAGCTTGTTGATAAATGGCATAATTTGTAACAGTCAACTCCACAACATGGGACTACTGACCAATACTATGAAGTCCAAAAAATTATCAAAAACGAAACCACCAGCGAACAAAATTTACTCGCCAGAAATTGAAACGTTGTGGAACGCTTTAAAACAATTATACGATAAGAGGACCGAGTCGGATCCAAAATTTTCATTTAACAAAATGGCGTTTGAAATTAATAATTTGCTCGACAAACAAAAGACCATTGCCGCATCAACAATAAGGAATTTTTATCTTCGACGAACAACTCCACGGAAAAAGACGATCGAGGCAATCCAACGTTGGATCGACGAAGAAAAGAAGGAAAACGTAAACCACTCAGATGAAGAAATAGATAATAGTGATAATATTATTGATAGTACAAAAGATAATAAAATTTAAATTTGCGCCAGAGTGACCAAAGAATAGGTTATACTCATTAATGGCTTTGGGTCCGAGTATTTTCCTCCCATGCAATCACTCTGG